TACGATTACTTCTACGACTACTATTACGACGACAACTACTACGACTTACTACTACTGCCACTAGTACTGATACGACCTCGACTGCTACCATTACCACCACAACAGCGAATACTACTACCAGTACTGCGAATACTGCTACTACTACTACTAGCAATGGTACTGCTACAACCAGTAGTATTACCACTCGCCCTACTACTTCTACGAGTACTACTACTACTACTACTACTACTACTACTACTACTACTACTACTACTACTACTACTACGACTACGACTACTACTACTACTAGTACTAGTACTAGTACTACTACTACTACTACTACTACTACTACTACTACTACTACTACTACTACTACTACTACTACTACTACTACTACTTACTACTACTACTACTACTACTACTACTACTACTACTACTACTACTACTACTTACTACTACTACTACTACTACTACTACTACTACTACTACTACTACTACTACTACTACTACTACTACTACTACTACTACTACTACTACTACTACTACTACTACTACTACTACTACTACTACTACTACTACTACTACTACTACTACTTCTACTACTACTACTACTACTACTACTACTACTACTACTACGGCCACTACCACTACTACTACTACTACTACTACTACTACTACTACTACTACTACTACTACTACTACTACCTACGACTATTACAACTACCATTACTACTACTACTACTACTACTACTACTACTACTACTACTACTACTACTACTACTACTTTTACTACTACTGCTACTACTACAACTACTTATACTACTACTGCTACTACTAGGGTCACAAGTCACCTCCGTGTCGGCTGAGAGTGGTGACAAGGTTAGGGTAAGGGATCTGTTTCTGGTTCGGGTTCGGGTTCGGGTTTAGGCTCGGGTTCGTATTATAATAAAATTAGAATGCAATTATAATCTAATTACAACACAATTAGAACAAAACCAGAATACAACTAGAAAACATTTTAAAATTCCATGGAATCCACTTAGAACACAATTAGAATACAAATAAAATACACTCAGAATAAATGAGTATAATACAACTTGAAAACAGTTGGAATTCATTTATAATACACTTAGAATACAAGTAGCATACACTTGGAAGGCAACTAGACTCTACATATAATACGGGTAGAACTAAACATAGAATCCGGTTTGCATACAAGTAGAAGATAACTACATATATTCACAATTTAACTAACACAGAAGTGGCATGAATTTAGAATACAAGTAGAGTATGATTAGAATACAAATAGCGCTTAAACTGGAATACACCTAAGGAGATCTATTATAATACAATTTCTAATAAATTAGAAAGCACCTCGAGATCATTTGGAAAATATTAACAAACGGGCTTCGCGCGCGCGCATGTCCAAATCGTTCGAACGCCCTTGCGCGCGTGCCGTCGCGAGGATCCTCTGCAAAAACGAAACGAAGTGCACGGGCCCGCGTCGCCGCGCGCGCATGCCGAAATCCTTCAAAAACAATAGGTTTAGGAATGGCTTCAAAATCGAATGCCCAAAGAAGATACAAAAACACAAAACTTCGCAACACCGAGTTTCAACAAAAGCGTGCGCCCGCGCCCTTGCGAATTCGTGAGAAAACCATAAGTTTTTCAAGATGTTGATAAACTGCTACCAAGCGAGTTCTGGGCGCGCGCATGTCCAAATCGTCGGACGCCCTTGCGTGCGTGTTGGGGTGGCACGGCCAATGTCAAATAATTCCATGCGAGCCGCTCTCGCGCGTCTGCCGCGCGCGCATTTCGAATTCCTTCCAAAACCATTATCACCGACGCGAAGACGCCGTCATCGTCGTCGGCGTGAGCGGTATCAGCGCCGTCACTGGCCGTGCAGCCGTCGCCACCGCACCAGCCCAAGTCGCCGACTTGCACTCGAGTGCCCGCCTGGATGTGCCGAGCGGTCAGCACCACCGCGGCCGCGACGGTCACGCCAAACTTCCTGGCCGCTGCGCGCTCGCGCATGCGCGGGCCGGCGCGGCCGCAAAGGTGCACCAGCCAGCGCCAAGCACTCATCGCTATCGCCACCGCATGAGGTTTGCAAACCAAGTTGCGGGTTGGGCTGTTTGCGCGAGCAGTGGAGTGGACAACTCACCCCGTACCTCGCGTCCCATGGATTGAACCGCATACTGCACAATATAGAATGCACCACACACTCTCTGTTCCCAAGGAAAAATACTCCACCACCACCCCGAGCCCAGGGTTGATCTTCCCCCCTGAAGTATTGCAAATACATGCGAGTCTTCCTCATCGTTCACTTTCCATTTGAAATCATAAAATCTCAACCAAGCGAGTATCGACCCCAACCCGTCATCCCTGTCAAATAACACCATGCACGCACAGTTGCTTACCATCGCAAACCAAGGTGAGCCTGAACATGCTTTGCATGTTTCAATTTTGACCTCCCTCGAACCGAGCCTCGTGCCACCAATCTCATGGCTGAAACGCAAATTCGAAAATATGAAGCACGCAGAGCCTCAGCTTGAAAATGGCGCGTCGAATGTGCAGAAGAATAAGGATGGAACTTGGTACGGGAACGTAAGATGTTGTCATCGACAGCCTCGGCTATGTTCCGCGCACTCTAGAGACGTAAGATGCCCTTGACCACAGTTGAGCACGTCTGCGCACGTCCAACGGAGCATCCGTAGAGGGTGCTGACCACCTGCACATGTTGCACGGCCCCTCGTCATTTGGCAAGCGGTAGAATGACTTTCGACCCAATGACCCCGCGGGCACTGAAGGCCCTCGTAAGCATGTGGTGAATCAAGAGGCAACTCGGTGGACAGGATGACAGAAATACCAATGACGATGGGGATAACTACGGTGACGATGATGATCATGATGTCACACTGAGTTTCTTGTCACAGGCCAGCGACATGGGACCGCCTAACCTGCGAACGACGCCCGCCGCTCATCAGACGGCCGACCGACACATGGCCCCCCCCTCCGAGGTCGGGGCAAACGGGTGGACAGGCTGGGGCAGGCGACGGGGAAGATACGAGCAAGACCCCGACCCACAAGAACAAGACCCTAAACCCTGAGCCCTGCCCCCCGGCCCCACCCCACTCAAAAGAGAAGGATAGGACACGCATATGGTGAGGATTTGCCTTCGAGGGCAGAGCCCTTCCCCAGTCCTGAGCAAGCCCGTCCTGCCAGGTTTGGCCACGGGAGCTGCCTTCTCCTGAGGAATGCGGCATGTGCGGGTGCGGGGCGGCACCACTGAAGTGCAACGCCAGGATACAGAGGAGGCCAGTCCATATGAAACCTTCTACAAGAAACCCAACCCTGAGACCCCAGGACGTCCATGGGTTTTTGGTGTGGGAACGTCACGCCTTCCACAGCAAAACCATCGAAACCCAGGGTACCCTGGAGGCAAGCAGAGTGCTTCTTGGCAATGGGTCTCCACTGTAGCGGAAGCTCCCCCAAGCGAGCAGGCCCTGAATCTGCGCAGTTTCCACGGACGGGTGGTGGGCCGACCCAGCTGCCCAGAGACCCGATCGGCTGAGATCTCGCCTTGCAGCAGCACCACTGCTCCAGACACACCCCTGCTTCCTCCCAGCCAGGGTGGACTGTTGCTCCCCCCGCCCCCGCTTCTCTCGGCGAGGAACAAACTCCGCCCTTCCTGCTCCTCCTCCTCCCCCTCCTCCTCCTCCCCCTCATCCTCGTCCTCCTCCTCCACCTCCTCCTCCTCCCTCCTCTGCCTCCTCCTCCTCCTCCTCTGCCTCCTCCTCCTCCTCCTCCTCCTCCTCCTCCTCCTCCTCCTCCTCCTCCTCCTCCTCCTCCTCCTCCTCCTCCTCCTCCTCGGTCCAAGGAAGGCCTGCGACATCCCATAACATGGCTAAGACGGTCGCAACCCTTCTCGGACACGATACAGGGAGACTGTTACCTCTGGATGGACACCTTCTAAGGGCGCCCCCTCGTCTTGCCACACCCAGTCGCGCACATCCCCCCCTCCCGGACCCTCCTGGAAAGCCTGAAGCTTCTCTGGCGCCCTCCAGTCTTTCCGAGGCTTCCATGGAAGCAGGGGAAGGCCCCCAAGGCTGCCAAGATAGCCTAACAATGCCTCAACAAGCACCCGACAGCTCTCACGCCGAAAATATCCCAAGAGGCCTCCAAGAGGCCCCCTGACGCCCCGAAGACGCTCTCCAGGAAGCCATCGGGAACAAAATATACAGATGTACGACAAGCATTCCATGTTATTCGATTTCCACGCTCTGCGGTCAAGGTCGGCCCATTTGCTCTCTTCGACGGCCCAACAAGACCCACTGGAAGACCAAAGAGCAGCCCTAAGCGGCCCAGGACGGCCCCAAGGGAGCCCAAAGCTGGCCCAAGAAGGCCTCCGGAGGACCCCGTACGGCCTAAGCCAATCTGAAGGCGGCCCACGACGAACCCGAGACGACCCTACAACTTATCCAAGAAACCTGCCGGACGGCCAAGAGAGCCCCGAGACGGTCCAAGAGGGCCCCAAGATGGCCCAAGAGGGCTCCAAGGGACCCACCCCAAACACTGCCCCACAGGAGATAAAGGCACCCCCAAGACGACCCAAACGAGCCCCATGAGGCACCTCAAGAGGAGGACACGAGAGGTGTCACAGGTGACGGCCTTTGGCGGCGGAAGCTTCGTTTCGTCACGCAGTGCAATGAGCTAACACGGTAGCGGAACTTGACGCAGCAGACCTGATATAGAATGAAGGAGGGAACGAAAGACGGAGGGAGACGGGAGAGGAAGGAGGGAAGGAGTGATGGATGGCAGGAGGAGGGACAAAAAAAGAAGCAGGCATATGGACGGAGAGGGAGTGGAAGATGGAGGGGGCGATGGAGGGGCACAGGGAGCGAAGGAGGGAAGACAAAGGAGGGCGGAAGGGAGGGGGAGTACTGAGTGAAGGAATGCGTGGTGACGCGCACGCAACCGGCCCAGCGCAAGCATCACATCGGCCCATCAAGAACGCTACACTACTGCTGCTTGCACGCCTCGTCGTTCCCCAACCCGTCGGCCATATCTTTCATGACCTTTGTGAGCTCGTCAGGATCCTCAGCAAGCTTTTTGAGGAGATCCTTCTCTGAAGCCCCCAAGTTCTGATCGAGGCCCATCGTCTTCATGAAGTCCTCAAAATTCTCGCCACCCTCGTCGGCGTCGGCTGGAGCAATCTGCTTCATCACCTCGTCTGGTGGCTGCCCGTAGTCTTGCAGCTCTGTAAGCAGCCTCTGCACCTCATCCCTCTTGTCTGCCGGGAGCGGGTCTGGGCTTTCCTTGTATATGACCAGGATATGCTTCAGCGTTCTAACCTGCGCCTCGTAGTTGGACCTCTCCGTGGCAGAAAGGCCCTTCTGAGACTTGAGCCAGGGCTCCATGCCGTCGACGATCTGCTGAAGAGGCTGGCAGATGAGGTCGCTGGATAGCATGGACGTCATCAAAGTGGTTAGCTGCTTTCCGAAGTTGTTGTCCGAGCCCACCGCATCGTCGAAGTTCTTCACGAACTTCTGCAGGAAGTCCTCCGAACCTGCATCCCCGGACAGGGACGCCGCGGCACCGCCGTCCGCAGCCCCTGGCGCCCCGGAGTCCTGCATGAACAAGATATCAACCAAAAACTAACTCGCATGCGCAAACACACACACACACACTTTTTGCGCTGGCGGCTGAGATGAGGGTGACTGCTCCGGCGGACACACACACACACTTGCTTGGCGGTCGGGGGCTCGCGGGCGGCGACGAGGCGAAGTCAGCCGAAAGCGACGAACACACACACACACGCTAGACACACACACACACACACTAGACACACACACACACACACACTAGACACACACACACATACACACACAGTGTCACACACAGTGTCACACACACACACACACACACACCTACACACACACTTTTGAAATGTCGCAGCGCGGCAGAGACAGTCCGCACGCGCGCTTGGGCAAGCCGAGCCGACAGCATCGCGAATTCCCCGGCAGCAAGGATAGGAAAAGGGGGGAGAAGGCGGCCGCGGGCAGGGGGAGGAGGGAGAGCGCTGACGCGAATCCACACACACACACACATACACGAGCGCCAGCCGAGACATCGGCCGATTTCTGCCGCCCCGGGGATGCTGCGGGCGGCGTGCAGGAGGAGCGCGCCGAGATGCGCCAGATCTGCGACCCCGGGGGGCGCAGAACGCTGCTGCGCCCTGCTGTCGCCTCATCGAGCGCTGGCGAAGTGGAACATGGACTCCCATGTCCAGGCGTCCTATCAGTAGCCTCTGGCGTACTTCGGGTAGGGTATCGGCTAACAGAGCTGGTTTGCCCCAAAATTGATTCTTCCGTTGAGTCGACGAGAGGCACATACCATGCTCCGCAGATCCACGGGACATACTACGTGTATTCCGTAGCGTCGACAGGAAAAAAAGTCGGCCAAATCAATTATGTAGTCGATCCCCTGGTCGAGTGCTGGGAGGCACTGGTGCGAGAAAGCCCTTGGCAAGAAACGAAACACCGCACACGCGGAATTCTCGACGGAGTTGGCCACTTCTTCTTATTAGTCGGAGGTGAGGGGGTGAGATCGAAGTGGAACGGAGAGCCCCCCTACCGGGAAATCGATTTCGGTTTCGTGTTCGTGCGTGCCGTGCGCGCGGGCGAGGCGAAGCTGCGTGGGCGGGCGAGAGGAAAGTCTCCTGTGGCTGAGGCGCGGCCGGACCAAATGATTCTCTTCCGGGCGGCCGGTGGCGCGCGGTGTCCCGCCGGTGTCCCGCTGGTGTCCCGTCGGTGTCCCTGTGGCTGAGGCGCGGCCGGACCAAATGTGTCTCTTCCGGGCGGCCGGTGGCGCGCGGTGTCCCGCTGGTGTCCCGCCGGTGTCCCGTCGGTGTCCCGTCGGTGTCCCGATGATGATGTGGATGATTATGATGATGATGGTGATGATGGTGATGATGATGATGATGGTGATGATGATGATGATGATGATGATGTTGATGATGGCGATGATGATGATGGCGATGATAATGATGATGATGATGATGATGATGATGATGATGATGATGATGATGATGATGATGATGATGATGATGATGATGATGTTGATGTTGATGTTGATGTTGATGATGATGATGATGATGATGATGATGATGATGATGACGTCGATTGTGAGATCGATTGTGATATCGATAGTGAGACCGAATGTGAGACCGAATGTGAGATCGATAGTGAGATCGATTGTGAGATCGATAGTCAGATCGATTGTGAGATGATGATGGTGATGATGGTGATGATGGTGATCATGGTGATGATGATGGTGGTGATGATGATGAAGACTTTGATGATGTTGATGATGATGGTGTCCCGATGACGATGATGTTGATGATGATGTTGATGATGGTGATGATGATGATGTCGATGATGATGGTGTCCCGATGATTACAATCCGATAGTGAGACCGAATGTGAGATCGATTGTGCGATGCTGATGGTGATGATGGCCATGATGGTGATGATGATTGTGATGATGATGATGACGACGTTGATGATGATGATGATGATGATGCTGATGATGATGATTATGACGATGATGATGTTAATGGTGATGTCGATGATGATGATGACGACGTCGATTGTGAGAGCGGTGATATCGATAGTGGGATCGATAGTGAGACCGAATGTGATATCGATTGTGAGATCGATTGTGAGATCGATTGTGAAATCAATAGTCAGATCAATTGTGAGATAGATCGAATGAGATCGATTGTGAGATCGATCGAGGGAGATCGATCGAGCGAGACCGATACTGAGTTCGATAGTGAGATCGATAGTGAGACCGATCGAGTGAGACGTTGGTTCCTCCCCCCCCCCGAACCTCCTTATCACCCGAAGGGTGGTCGTATAGGTATGATCATTCGTGTTATTATTATCATTCGGCAGGGTGAGTTGAACCCCATAGTCTGCACCACATATGCTGCACCACATATAACACACGTCCAGAGTGCCATAGCACACTGATTGGGATCCACTGATCGCTCTATGCGTGTGCCTAAAACTCCTTTCCTTTGGGGGATACCCCAAGTTGCATGGCACGGATTTCTGGACACGCTCCTTGGCAGAGGCGCCCTCCTCGACCCCGCTAGTGTCCATGCCCTGTAGCAAGCCTGTCATAGCCTTCTGGAAAGACTCGTCCTGAAAAGTCTGGACGAGGTTCGAGAAGAACTCCTCGTTGGGCTGCACCTCCCCGTCAGACCTTATCTGATGGACCGCGCTACCAACAGTCACCTCGAGCCAGGCGCTGTCCACAAAGAAAGCTACATGAAGAAGAGGTTAGCGTGAGAGGGGGAATCACCCTGAGGGTCTGCATTCAGGCAGAGCCGCCTGGAGCCTAAAGAGGGCGAAGCAGGCCCTGTCACCCAAGGGCGCCTTTCTTACAGAGCCTCGTCTGGCACGCAGGGGGGACGCCAGTAATGTCAGATCGCCTACAAATCACTGGACATGTCAGACTCAGATCGCACAACCCTCACTCAACCGATCGGGCAGTCTTATCACGAATCCACGCCGACCGCGTGGTCGACGATCAACGTGGGCAAAGCGATTTAGATTTCGACCGTCATTGGATCGACCATGCCATCAGCGGTAAGCTTCACCCTGGAACCATCCTGCACACTCACTACCGATGTTCCGGGGCGCTCGGAAAAAGTACGAATTGGTAGAAAGATGTTTTTCTACCTAGCTCCACGGGCAGCCTGGTCATCGTGAGAGAGAGAGAGGTACGGGGCTGTAAGGCCTCGGCATGCGCATGCCACCCTGCTGCATCTCTTTCACCGCCTCCCCGGCCCAGCCCGCGCCGCCCCCCGATGGTCTGTCCGCCTTCCTCTCGCCATCAAGCGCGGATTGCACTCCGCCTGGAAGGACGAGGACTGTGCGCACGCACCGACGCTGGCCAAGCTCACCATGAACCCAGGGTCGGTGCACGAGCCTTCCTGACTTGGCCAGGGAGGCATACCGATCCCTGGGCCCAGGAGGGGCCTGACCAGAACTGTTGCATGTGCGGAGTCTCGTCGCTCGATCCGCCGAGGGAGTCGGCGATGAGATTGTCGAGGTCGTCGGTCTCCATGACCCCTCAAGTCTGCAAAAAGGCCCCTCGCGCGCGCCACGCACCGCGCTGGGCGCACCACGCTGCCGCGCGCGCCTCTGGTGAGCCCGTCTGAGCTGGCAACGGCGGGAAACGGATCGATATATATATATATATATATATATACATACATACATACATACATACATGCATGCATACACACATACATACATACATACATACATACATACATACATACATACATACATACATACATACATACACAAGACTGCAGTGGCGCTTCGCGCCAAGCACCTTGGTCCTTGAAGATTGCTATGCAGGCGGAAAAGGCAGGAAGATCAAGCGGACACTTTAACGATAACTCCTTGCTGCCTTTTCTGGCATCGCCGTTACAATAATGTTGTTCGTTATCCTTCATCCATGTTTATTGTTCCTCATTCTCGCCATACCCTGGGCATTCTCCCCATCCTCCTCAGCTCTTTTTGCGGAGGCTCCTCCTTGGAGAGCCTCTGGGAGCCTCACCAAAGTTCTCAAGCTTTCTTAAAGCCTTCTGGAGGCCTCCTGGGCGTGTTCTGGGGGCCTCTGGGGCTTCCTAAGGCCAACCTGCCTCTAACCGCGGACTCCCTGAACGCCCCGGTCACGATTTGGAATGCTTCGGAGGGTGTCTTGGGGCCATCTTTGGCCGCCATGGGGCTCTCTTAGGGCCATTTTGGACCCCTGGTGTGCCGTTTTGGGGCTCTCTTGGACTGCCTGGAAGCCCTTTCGGATGGCTGTGAGGCGATTTGGGAGCCTCCCAGGCGACTTCGGACGCCCAGAAGACCGCTGTCTTGGAGCGTCGGGAAGCCGAAAAGAGGAGAACCCCAAATTCACCAAAAACCTACATTAAATCAATAATTTGTCCCTCTTAGGGCCTTCTTGGGGGTGCTCTTGGAGGCCTCTTGGTACGTCTTGGAGCGATCTTTCGGGGTATGACGGCTTCTTGGAGCGCTCTTGTGCTGTCTTAGGGTTCTCCAGGACGTCTCCGATGACCCCCCTGATCACCCTAGGTGTGCTGCGAAGGCTTGGCAAAACGCCCTGCGAGGCCCGGGGGGCCGCTTCGAGGCCCGTCCGAAGGGTCCCAAAGCCCCAGATCCCAGGAGTAGTCTGTTTTCATGGGGGGGGGGGTGACGGGTTTTCCCCCCGCGCGGGCTTGCAAAAATATAGGAAGAGGAACATACATACATACATACATACATGCATGCATGCATGCATGCATGCATGCATGCATGCATACATACAGACAGACAGACAGACAGACAGACAGACAGACAGACAGACATGCATGCATGCATGCATGCATACATACATACATACATACAAACAAACGCATACATACACACAGACATACACACACACACACATACATACATACATGCATACATGCATACCTACCTACCTACCTACCTACCTACCTACCGACCTACCTACCTACCTACTTACCTACCTACATAAATACATACATACATACACACATGCATACATACACAGATGCATGCATGCATGCATGCATACATGCATACATACGTATATACATACACACACATGCACACACATACATAGATACGTACATACATCCATGCATGCTTACATACATACAGGCAGACAGACAGGCAGACAGACATACATACATACATACATGCATGCATGCATGCATAGGTGCATACATGCATACATGCATGCATACATACATACATATATGTACATGCATACATGCATGCATACATACAGACATGCATCACATGCATACATACATACATACATACCTGCATACATACATACATAAATACACACACGTACATGCGTACACATACACATACATACACATACATACACATAAATGTACATACATGCACATACATACACATGAATACACCTAAATACACATACATGCATAAATGTATACACACATGTACATACATACATACATACATACATACATACATACATACATGCATGCATGCATGCATGCATGCATGCATGCATACATACATACATACACACACATACCTACATACATACATGCATAGATACCTACATGCGCACATGAATGCATACATATAGACATATATATATATATATATATATATATACATATGCATACATGCATGCATTCATACATACATGCATGCATGCATACATGCATACATATATACCTACATGCATGCATACATACATACATGCATGCGTGCATTCATAGCTTTCACGATGGTGGCTATGTCATGGCTCTCGCGCTTGCAGTGGTGATGTTAACAGCTGTCAGGCCGAGCGGTTTTCACATGCCCCGCCTCCGCGGCGAAGCGGCGCTGCCTGGGCGCAGAATGGCACCGCCTGCATACGGCATGCGGTGTGGGTGCGACGGCGTCAGGCTCCCTGTGCTGCTGCGCTCCAGCAGGGGGAGCCTGGCAGAGGGCGGCGCCTCCCTGTGGCCTGGGGGTGGGCCCCGCAAGGTGGCGTGGAACGGCTGGCATTGGCACGGGAGGGCGGGCCTCATCCTCCTCATCTTTCTCCTCCTCCTCCTCCTCCTCCTCCTCCTCCTCCTCATCCTCCTCCTCATCCTCATCCTCCTCCTCCTCTTCGTGACCGTGGCGGTGATCAAGAATATGACGTATGCCCTTCCTGCCGCCGCTGGGACTTCAAGTACAATGGGAATTGGCGCTGCTCTCTGTGCGGAGGCATGTATCTCGCTGATGTCGGACAAGATCCAGGAGAAGGTGGTCAACCTGCTGGAGGTTAAGCTGGTGGGAACGGACAAGGGGGACCCGCTGATGATCCTAAACTTCGTGCAGCAGCTGCAGTCTTGCTCGCTGCACGCCCTGACCTACAAAATGTTCTTGGTGGAGTGGTTCCTCCTCCTCCGCGTGAACCTGATTAATGGACCGCGGCTCAGTATGCTGATGCTGCCCGTCAGGAACACACTCGTCTCACAAAGGAGGTGGAGAATTGCGCTAAGTCGGTGCGCCTGGCCGCCCAGGAGGTGCACCATCGTGCTTAAAAGGCTTCGAAGCTTGAGGAGTCCCTGCGCGATGCTCGGGAACACCACCAGCAGGCGGAGCTCGATTTCCAGGAGGCTGAGAAGCAGAAGCGGGACGCCGACGACGCCCTGGGCCATTTCTCCCAGGATGCCTGGGTGCTGGCGAAGCGGCAGGACCCCGCGCAGGCCGCCGAGGCCGCCCGCGCTGCCCGCGCCGCCCCTGCGCCCGCCGCCGCCCAGGCCCCGCGGGAGGCAGCGGCGGCCGCCCAGCCTGGCGGAGGCGCGGCCCCCGCCGCGGCGGCCGCTGGCCCAGGCGCTGCGGCGCCCGCGGCGCCCGCTGCTGCTGCTCCGCGGGCCCGCATGGACGTCGACCTGCCTGAGTTCCAACACCACGGATGACGCCCAGATCCGCCAGCTCTGCTCGGACAACAGTCTTCCCTACGGTCTGGTGACCTGCTTCGCTGAGATGCAACGGCGGATCATTGAGGGTGTGCCATCTGAAGTGGGGAGCGACGCAGGATCCGACCCTGGCGACCTTGCCCCCCAAGATCCAGCTGCTGAGTTGGCGGCCCTTCGCAAACGTTCATTGGAAGGTGCCTTGGCTGACGCCGACCAGACGCGGATGGAGAACCTCATGTTCGAGAAGGCCACTTCTCGGTCCGCGAAGAAAGTCCGTCGCGAGCAACGGGACGTCGGTGCCAGCATCAAGGAGCTTTTCAAGGCGGCGGTCGCGGAGATGCCGTCGCATATTTAGTGAGTCAGGGTTTCGCCTTCTGTTCTGTAATATAACTAGTTGGAGCCCTCGTACCAAATCTTTCGTTGCTCCGTTGCTTATCAAGGCTGACGCCTTCCTGCTCACCGAACACCGACAGCTCCCAGCCGATTTGAAGTCGACCAAGCGTGATGTGGCCACCGCTGGGTGGCGCCCCCCATTTCCTCCCGGTCCCTCCCTCCCCTGGGGGAGGGGCCCACGGTGGTGTCGGAGCTGCGGCGCACAAAAGCTTGCTTTTCAAGCGCTTTCTGGCCCAAGCTGGCCAACTTAGGGATGTAGGGTCCGGCAATGGCTGGATGTTCCTGGAGCTCCGAATCCAATCCTGTGCGATGGCCGTCGGGGTTGTATATATGGTAGCTGATCTGGGGGTCTCGGGCGTGAACATTACCAAGATGAAAGGAATTGCGTCTTTCGTGAATACTACCACCATACCTTGGTTCCTGATGGGGGACTACAACATCAGTCTAGCTCAAGTGGAGGTCTGTGGCCTCTTGAAGATGGTTCGTGGTAAAGCTCTACCTCCAGCTGGTGTCTCTTTCACTTGCAGTAATGGAGGTGGGTCCATGATTGACTACGCGATTACCTGTGATTATTTGGCTCCGTACTTGCGAGTGTCCAAGTACCACGCTTCCCCTTTTTTAAGACGCACTGCTGCATTGAGGTACGGCTCCCGCATGAAGCCCTGGCCCAGACTATGTCCAAGCGTGTTCGGCCTCTCCCGCTGCCCAGTCATGAGGGACCTGTGCTGCCGTGGGAATACCATTTCCAGGCTGAGCTGGCCGACTGGGCTCCACCTCGCGCGGGCCCTCCACCTCAACTTCCCCATATCCAGGCCAACCTCTCTGATGACCTGACGTCGTCGTATCTGTTGCGGTCGCGTCCTTACGAGAGGATGAAGTTGTCGGTCTTAGGAGAAGAGGAGGAGGAGGAGGACTATCGAGGTCGGGGAAATGTTGTTGACTTTCGCCTCACTACCTTGACTGACCATGCCTCGCGCAGTGGCTGTTTTGCCCAACCGTTGCTTACCTTTGGGTCCACCGCGTCGCAGAAAGTGCATGAGATGAAGGTGGCGGTGAGAAAGGGATACGGACGCATGCTTCTCCCACTATCTGCCCGACCGTGTGCTCTGGGATGCTGGCTTCTTCCGCATTGTGAATGCCTCCCAGCTGATCAGGCCGCCCAACAGTGGCAGGCTCAGCTAGCGGACCTGACTTCGGTTGATCTGTACCGTTTTCAGGC